ATTCAAATAGCTTCCCCTTTCCATTCCCATTACCCATAATTCAGAGCAAATTAAAACTTGGTAGGGCCCTTGTGGATATCTTTTAAATTATAAAGACTAGGTGGATTTAAGGGTCTGAGCTAGTTTCCTCAAAAGGCTTAAGAGGAGGATAACAGAGTTAATGATTAGAGATGGAGATGATTTATAAAAACAGGAAAAATTACAGGTCTAGAAACTTAAAGGTCTTACTCTGGAAGTTCACAATTATTTTGGTAGAACATAGTAAATGATGACTTGAGGAGGAAGATAGTTGTTACAAATCTATGTACTTTCCTGGGAGGGTGAATCATACAGGGCTTTCCAGTCCTGGGGCCAGAGCTTATTGACTTAGATTGTATATGAAATAAGATTTCTTATTTAATAAGCATGGTTATTTACTTTTTCATTTTGTCCAGACAGAATGGAGCCCAAGAGATAGAAATTATATAGGTCAACAATTAAGTCCTGGAGAAATAGACAGTCCTGGAAGTATTAGGTAGGTCTAGGATCGCGTAGGCCTATGTGATAGCAGGAAGGGGATGAGACTAAGTAGGCAGAATTGGTCTGAGCAAGAAGGCAGGATCAGGAGCCTGAGAAGGCAGAATAGGAGTGTGCCGGCAGCTCCGAGACCTGAGAACATCAGAGAGCATCAGTGGTTCACCTCCCCCTGCTCTGTATCCTGCCTAGATGCGGGCTTGCCCTCATTGGCCATTTACCACAAGGAGGCCAGAGGATGGAAGGGGAATCCAAGCCCCAATGAACTCAAATGGGCCAGTCATTTAAAGTATCTTCTTGTGCCCAAGCATGGATTAATTAAATGGTTACTTGTTTAAAAGTAGAAAATTTGGCTCACTCCTTTGTATAGTCAACAAATATTTCATGAGTTCCTTCTCTGGACCCAGTCCCGTGCTAACCACAGAATGTGTAGCCTGTATCTGTATCTGCAACCCCATATTCCTGAGGTCAGCGGGTGCATGCAGTGTCAAGGCGGTCATATTTTACAGTGAACAATAACAAAAAAGCCACAGGTGCTAATTTCCCTAGATTCCCCAGCCAGAAAGAATTTCTCCTGCTGCTAAACTTTCACAGGAAAATATCTACAGCTTTCTAACTACTTACTGCTTTCTCTCTCTAACTCTATTTTATTAATTTGACTATTAGTTCCCTTAGAATAAGATTATTGCTTATTTCAGTTTTGTATCACCTAGAGTGTATATGTATAACACACACACACACACACACACGGGTTGCAAAAGAATTTGGACTTTCTTCTCCATTTACTAGGCTCTGGGATGATGATAGAGAATTTGTCCTTCAAACATTTCAGCTACTAAGATAACACTCTCATCCCTTAAAAAAAAAAAAATATATATATATATATATATATACATATATACACACAAGTATATAGATCAAACATATATAAAATAATGAATATATATGAATATATTCAATATATGGGGACATATATTAAAGTAGTATAATTGAGAGCTATGAAATTGATAATTATTTTCTTTTTTATTCCATCTGTATTTTTAAAATTATGTACAAGGAACATATCTTACATAACATACACCATAAAAGTTACTTAAAAAAACAGAAAGTAACACATTGCAACAGCAAGTGTATATTTCAATTATTAAGTAAGATTATATTAAGAGCTGTACACATGGAGTTTCTTTCTCTTTATTATTGTTTTGGCCTGAATAAGCAATGGAAAGTTACAAATATGTATTCAGTCCCCACATAAAGCTCTAAAGAAAAGAAAATTTTCTCTAAACTCTGACCTGCAACCTTGAAGTTGAGAAGAGAAGATCTATATGCAATCACATCATTTTAAGGATATGGGGAAAAAATCCATAATTCTATTCATCATCCAATTCTTACAAAACAGGAAGACTCAAGAAAAGTTTGGTTTCTGGGAAAACAGCTGGCTCCATATTTGTTCTAAGAAATGTTTCTCATTTGCAGAGATGGTAATACAAGTTGAGAGTTGGAGTATAAAAACTATAATTTTATTAAGTGGTAGTGATCACAGTTAGGAAATGTTTGTTTTGAGATAAAAAATAATTAAAACCATATTACAGTGCTTGATTGAAGACAGGACTAAACAGGACCCAACAACCAGACTTCTATGTCAGCTTGCCACTGCTGTCAGTTCCATTGGAATCTAATTTGAAATGCCAAGCCATTACTATTCTATTTCATATTTGTACCATGCTAATGCCATGTGTGTTAGTCTCCCCAAGAGTGCCCTCAGGGGAGTGAGGAAAGCAGGAGCAGTAGGAGAAGTGACTAGCTTTAAGCCCTGTAAGGACTCAACACATCTTGCAAGAACATAGTCTGGGAGGGAGCTGCTCAGTCATCAGCATCTTCTGGAATTGCTGCTGTGGCAGCTCATAGATTTTGCTGCTTCATCTGAGTTTCCAAGAAGAGATTCTAAGGTCAACTTTACAAGAATCTTGACTCATTTTTCCTGTTCACATATGGACTGCAAAAGAATTGGGACTCTCCTCTTCTCCACTTACTAGGCTCTGAGACGATGATAGAGAAATTCTCCTTCAACCATTGCAGCTATTAAGATAACACTCTCATCACTTAAAAAGGAGACACTTTCAGGTTCAACTACTGAAAGCAGTAGTGTGAGTTTGGTACTTGAGATGATGTGGTGAAGTAATGAAATCACTGTATTTTATATCTTTGAAAGGCATAAGACTAATTTTTGCAACAAAGCCTAACTCTCTCTCTAACTCTAGACTCCAGTGCAAAGAGACAATATTCAGAAGACGTCCTTTCTCAGAGGTTGTATTTTCAGTTGACTGATTATACTTGAATATTTTTAAACATATAAACTTTTATATGAAGTCCATGTATCTCTAACAATACTAAATTCCCTATCAGCATTTTATTCAATGAATCTGTACAAGTAAATTGACTGTTAGCATTAGATTTCTATTTCAATTAAATGTATAGAATGCTTCGTATTTTAAGAAGTTAAAACAAATATCAGATATAAATCTTTGAATTACATGTTAAAAAGACATGTTATATACACGTTATACTATTTTGAATATAATTGGAAAAGTTAATTTTTTCTTAATTACTGTTATTTCTCTCTCTCTCTCTTTCTCTCTCTACCAAAACATTTAATAGTTTATCATAAAATGTTATATGCATTAAAAATAGTAGAAAACACATGTATACTAAAATAGATTTTAACCAGGAAGATTTACCCCCCGTTATGTGGTTAAATAAATTAATCTCAAATTAATCTCAGATATGGTCAAGTAGATTTATCTCAAGTGAGGCTACTATGCATTGTTTAGACATATGTCTATTAGGAAATATAAAAATCAAATAACTTGGTTTAAGAAGTTCTAACAGTATCTATTCGGCATAAAGGTATATTTCCTCTTTTAAAAACTGTTTAGTGAAGACCAGTACTATAATTTATTCTCAACAGATTTGATTCTTTTATAAGTTTTCAGCTAAACCACACTAAATGAAATCAGACCCTACAGGACAATAATAAAGTTCATTTTGGTTGGCTCTAGAATTCTATCCACACTTCTCCGATCAATATACAACTGGAGAATTTAAGTACATTGGAGAATTTAACTTTGCAATTTGAAAACAAAATTCATTAAAACAATGATGATTAAGCTAAGATCAACTGCAACTCATTTAAATGTTTTATTATAAATTAATAAAATGAAAAGGTAAAATGTCATCAATGGAAATACTTTGCTAGTTATAGCTACTAAGTTTGTCCCTTCCTCAAAGCTATCAACATTAATAAAACTAACAGCAATATTAACAAGTGCCCTTTAAATAAAATTTTATAAAATAAGGTCACTTCCTTGTAATTTAAGTTTAAGAGGTGAAGACCAACAAAACACGGTTATCATTGTTTTATATTTCTTGACCATCAACACAGACGTAAGTCTACATCACTTCAATACAAACAATACAAAATGTGCTGCAATATAAGGACGTGAACTCTGTGGTCTAATTTTCTCAAAGTTGTTCAAAGGCAAGCTCTGTCCCAAAACTCAAATGTCATGGATTCCACAATATGGGATTGTGTGTAACTCTCCTACTGTAAAGTTATATTTTCTTTTAGAAATAACAGATTAATATAAATGCCACTTTTCCAAAGTGAAAGTGATTGAGTAGCAGCAAGTAAGTTTGAATTTGCCGCCATGTACTCTATTCGAAAAGTGGTAAGAAGACAGGAAACTTCACTGCTACTCAGAGAGGTCATGCTTTGCTCACTTGCCATCTGCTCACATGTCCTGGACCCACTCTGGAAACCAGCTCAACTCTAATACCTCCATACTGACTGGTCTCCCAGCTAGCTCACGCTCCCTGATCTGGCCCCTTTGGAAGGGCGGCTAATTTCTTAATGCTAATAGGAGGAACCGTTTATAGAATACTTGCTAAGTATTTTATTCCCATCAAAGCCCTACTGGAAGATGTTCGGATGCTTGTTTTACAGATGACGGACTGAGGCTTGGATAGGTTAAGTAACTTGCTAAGGAACAAAATACTAAGTGACAAAAGCCAGGATTTGAGCCTGCAGCTTTCCTGCTTCAGAATTTATATTCTTAACTCAGGGGATCCCATTTAATTAGTTATGTTTATTATTTCATTGGTTGGTTAGGTCTTAAATTACATCAGAAATCCTTTTCAATTTTTCCAGGAGGTGGGGGCCAGAGAATGTCTCTGTCACTTTGTGGAGACAAATAAATGTTCAGCTGAATCCTTTCACGTCTGCTGATTCAATACAATATTGTAGCCATAAGAATACTCAGAGAAAGATGTCATGCAGGAGTCTCCTATCTAGTACAATTCCAGGTAAAGTGCTCATTGAGCTATTTCCCTGGAGGAAAACCGAGGAGGGCCTCAGGGCCCACCCCGACCTCCACACCGCCCTTCCCTCCCCCACTCATTCCCTCCTTTCCCCTTCCCCACATGCTTACCTTGGTCAGGAAAAAATCAAGAGGAAAAGTAACGTCTGGGTTTCAGGCTGCTCTGATACACGCACGCGTTTAACTTGGCTGCCTGTGTGGATTCTGCTTTCGAATAACTTGCCCTCAACTTGACCTCAGGGAGTGGGTGAGAGGGGTTCTTTCCCTACCCCCGTTTTTCACCTGTTATTCACACTGTGAGCCGAAGGAGCCTTTTCACCTTGGTTGTCGGGCTGAACTTGCTTAACAGAGTTTGTTCTGCTTGGTCACAAGCTGTCGGAAAGCCAGTGCTCACTCACGTGTCCCGGCGCAGGTCGGTGCCAAGTGCTGAGGGAGGGGTGCACCTGGCTTACCTGAGCAGCTTACCTGAGCACCTCTGGGGCTCTGCTCCAGGCACTGCCCCTCCACACACACACGGTCATGAAGCCCAAGAAGCAGTTAACTATTACTCGTTTTCCCTACTGCTACCGCAGGGAAGTGTCAGAAACCTGAGCCACTCCCTGAGCCTCAGTGCATGTCAGGAGTGTTTGCTTTCTTTCCTAGGAGCAGCTGATAGGAACACTCCTTTGCTCCTTGTCAGACTTCTTGAGAAGTGAATTGACATTCTGGTTAACGCTTTAGCCACTGAATTGGACTAATTCTAATCTCTACTTTCTAGTCTATCCAGACTGTAGAGAAATAGTCTATGTAAGAAATGACATCAATTAGGACTGAATGTCATCATTCACTTGTCTTTTTTAAATGTTCTCTTTCAATTAGAAATTTCATAATTTTCCTCTTTTTTTTTTTTTTGCCACCTCCTTTGCCCACCAGTAGTACCCTTTCTCCCAGAGCAGTGCTTCTCACACCTCGGGGAACACCAGAGCCCTCATATAACCTGCTGAACCTGAACCCCCTCAGGCCTTTGCACCTATGAGACTCTCATCTAGGAGGTCTGGGGTAGGATGCTGGCACCTGTATTGTTTTTTAATAAGATCCTCAGAAGAATCTGGTAGACATCAAAGTTTAAAAACTATTGTAATAAAGTATAAAAGAGGACATGAACAACAATTTAGTCATTATCTACTGAATTGAATTTGGGATTTTCCGCAGCACCTCCAATTTCAAAAAGGGCACCAAAATCTAGTTAATTAGACCTATTGTGATAATTTCACACTATATACAAATATCAAATCATTATGTTGTACATCTGAAACTAATATAATGTTATGTCAATTATACTTCAGTTTTTTAAAAAAGAATAAAGACATTGACACAATAAAAAAACAAAAAAACAAAACAAAACAAAAAAAACCACCTCTCTCTTGGAAAACTACCAAAATGCCCAAACTTCTTTTTATTTAAAATTAAACAAGATCAGTCCAAAAAAAAGGAGGGTGGCACCACAGACTGAAACCCTCAGGTGACAGATGCTGTGGAAACACATAGTGCCTTTATTTACACACACACACACACACACACACACACACACACACACATTTTTTTTTTGGTATAATTGGTATTTTACCTGTTTCCTGTGTAAAACAACTGATTTTTTAAGAGGTTATTTTTCAAGTATAAACCTTACAGCCCTCAGAAAGAATTAACTATAATTCCTTCAATGAGCACAGTTGGCAGAGTTGATTTCTGGTGTCCTGCGTGTTCAAGCGTCAAATTCACAGACTGCCCACCACTTAAGATTTGCCGGTTTTGTTTGACAGATACAGCAGTTTAAGGGTTCTATATGTTCAAAAAGTCAGCCAGTTAACCTAGTTAACTTGTGGTATGTACAGATCAGAAACAATCAGATTTATCATTCTCTGGGCTATTTTAATAAACTGAACAGAATCAGGCAAATGGGTTTATTGGATCACAATTCAAACTCCCACAGCCTCATGTGTTAGGACACTGACAGTATTATTACTTGTGGGTATTAGTTTGATTGTCCTGTTGGCAACCCCCTGCTGGTATGGGCTGACCTTTGGATGATGACTAACAGGACCTGTGGTGTCTATGGCTCCTAGGCTCCAGGAGTCTTTGTTCAAATCCGTGTTCCACCCCCATTGTCTGCACTCTGTAGGGATCATTTGTTTATTATCCACATCAGGGCAATCTTGTTTTGCATTTTTTATCTGCAAGCGTCCAGGAAACCTTTCTTCTGATTACTGATTTGCAACTAGTTACCTTTAGTTAGAGGCTCAGTGACTCTTTTTGTTTTTGAATACTTACCCTTTTATAAATATGTAATTTTTATCTTGTAATATAAAAAATACATAATTACACATGTGCAATGTGGAAAATTTGAAAAATACAGACATGTAGAGGAAAAAGATCACTTACAATTCTATCTCCCAAATATAGTTACTGTAAACAACTTCATGACTGTCTTTATTTACATAGTTTATCTTTGGGCGTTTACCAAAGTGCTACTACATTTGCCTTATTGTTTTATAACCTGCTTTTATCACATAAAACATGTTATGAACAATTTGCCATATGTCAGTCATTTTTATGCAATGTGATTTTAACTAGCTGCACTGCATTACAACATATGGATATATCATTATTTGTTTAATCAGTTCCCTAGTGTGACAATTTATATAACTATAAACAGCACTGCAATAAATGTTTACATACAACTGCATACAATAATGATTATGCCTTTTAGTTATATTTCAAAAAATGAAGTTGTCAGATTAAAGGGAATGACATATTTAAAGAATTCCTCTCAAAACAAAGTGTCAATTTTATACTGTTAGGGGAACTCCTGGGTTTTTCTTTTTCTTTTAAATGCCTACCAATTTGAAAGGTAGAAAAACATCCTATTTTAAACATGTATATTATTGATTACCTGTAAAATTGAACTCTTTCTTTAGACTTACTCCATATTTTTGCTTTTTGTTTACTGTACTCTTTGCTAATCTTTTCTGTATTGAGTTATAAGATTTTTTTATATATGAAGGACATCAGCTCTTTGTCATATATGCTGTGACTATATTTCCCAATATTGTTTGCTTTTTAGTTTTGCTTATGGTAGGCTTTTGACATCCAAAAGTTTAAAAATTTAAATAGTAAATTCGTTAATATTTTTCTTTATTGCTTACACTTCAGTGTTAAAAAGCTTTCCCATCCTTAAAATATACATACAAGTATTTTTCTTTCTTGTTTAGTTATTATTTATTTATTAAATTTAACATTTCAACCCATCTGGACTTTATGATGTTAAAAACTGGGGTATTTAAATGTAACTTAATTTTAAAATTATTAATCTATTAACCCAGTAGCATTTATTAAATAACTATAGATTATAAACTCTACGAGGCAAGTACTATGTCTGATTATTTTATCCCCAAAGCTTAGTACAGTGACTGGCAGGCTCGCTGTTGCTCAGGCCAAATGTTGAATAGTCAGTCATTCGTGGTTCCTTTCAATCCCTCCTTCCACACCCGACAAGCCCTGATACTGTATCTTAGTCTCTGCATTTCCATTACCCCCTGGATTAGGCCAGCATGCCTTCTTGCTCTAACACTGCAGAGAGCCTCCTAATTGGTCTCTGCTTCCACTGGTCCCTCTACAATCCAGTCTTTACCTGTAACCAGTGTAGTTTTCTACAAACAAAAATGAGGCCACAATACCACCTCTGATTTCTTTTGCTGAAAACATTTCTGCAGGTCGCCACCCCTCCCCACCCCGCTGCATCTGTGATATTTTAATCTGAACCTCTTCCCATGGCCTCCAAGGCCCAGTGACCTGGCCCTTCCCTAACCTCTTCAACTTTACTGCTTCTCTACTCCTGAGTGCTGACTGAACTTGCTGCCCTGGTTTGAATTTTGTTTCTGGAACAGACCAGGCTGGTTCCTGCCTCACTGTTTTTGCACTTGGTATTATTGCCTCTGCTAAGAAAGCTCTCTTCTTGTCACAGTTTTAATTTTTATGGGGTTTTTTTTGTTTGTTTGTTTTTTTTGTCTCAAATATCACCTCCTCAGAGAGGCCTTCCATGACTCTTCAATTCAAATAAGGACTCTAATCTGTTTCTATCACCGTCCCCTATTTATTGTACTAATGGCAGTTATCACTATCTGAATGTATTTTACTATTTTATTATTGAATGCATATCTATGGTTTTGAGTGACCTCCTCTCCTTAAAAAATAAGCTCGAATAGAAGAGGGACCTTGACTTCTAGGTTCCCTGCTTTGTCCTCAGTGCCTAGAACAATGCCAGGCCCAGGTGAGGGGCTTATGAAACATTGGATCAGAACAAATAATGGTGGCTTAATAAATATGTTTTGAGTAAATAAATATAGATCATACTTTTTCCCTGATTAGAAAAAAACACTATTATAAGTACTAAGTACAAATTGTTCATAATTATTCTAACCTTGTAATGCTCACTGTACATTAATAATGATTTAGTTTATATTTAGTATTTGCACCATTCACCATTATCATTGGCAATTTGTCCTAGGCTAGCAGGCTAATCCATATCAGTAAATGATGACTTCAGGACCAGGGGAGAAAGGCTCCTAAAAAGCGATATTTTTCTTGTTTAATGACTTCTTTTAGGGCATTGAAATGAGTGTTGGGTTGACTACAGTAACAGCTCTGATTTTTTTCCTGCCTTCCTATATTTTGGAAGGACTTTCCTACATGATTCTGGGCTTGGTCATGTGACTTGCTTTGGTCAATGGGTCAATACCAAGTGATATAAGCAGAGGCTTGAAAATCAGTTGTGCACTGGGGTTTACCCTCTCGTTGCTCTTAGAGCCCTGTACTGCCATATGAGCAAGCCTGGGCTAGCCTGTGGGATTACGTGAACCTTGGCCCAGTTGTCCCATTACCCCGGATGACAGCCTTAAAGCAGAGCCACTAAGCTAACCTGCAGCTGACTAACGGCCCATAAATGAGTCTAGCTGAGAACAGGAGAACTGCCCAGCTGAGCCCAGCTCAAAGTGCCAACACAGAAAACTGAGTTGCATCAATAGTTGTTGTGTTAAGCCACTAAATGTTAGTGTGGTAGTTTTAGAGCACAGGCTAACTGACACATCTGGTGTGTTTTTTGTACACAGACAAATGTGTATACACACCAATATATTGTTAATTGGAAAGGAAGAGAAACACTTGTATCACAATATGTTCCTACCACAATTATGCTGCAGGAATGCAATGACCCATAGAAATGAAACAGAAAAGCAGGAGGAAAGAAAAAAAAAAAAAAGGAAAGAAGGTGTGAGTTATCTGGATATTAGGTCATTTCCATAGACCATTAAATCACTCCTGGAAAATATTTAGAGATGATTATAACTTAAAGAAAATATGCGGAGAACAAGAAATTGCCTGTTTCTAATACTACATGACCCAGTTGCCATGGACCACTTAATGTCAGTTTGTTTCATGGCCTTATACCTCATTTCATACCTGAGGGTGTAGTGAAGCCTAGGCTATGCATTAAGTGAAGTGAAAAGAAAGCAGAGTAGATACA